AGGAAATTCATTCACTCATTCGTTTTTTTTTATTATTATTTCATGAGTGATTTTAGCGATTATCCCTCACAGACTATTTCTCCTTACTCCCCACCCCTACCCCTCAACTACCTTTGCATTGTCAGCAACGATAAAAACAAACGCCAGAAAAACGCAATGTAGCATATTCTCCTTTTTTCGTCCTTTTTATAAAAACACTTTTCTATCTATGACCTGGCCAGACTTAGCGATCAGGCATTCAGGTCTTTGACATGTCAGCCCGCAATGAAGACAAAAATCCATCTCCAGTGGAAAACCAATCTTATGACTTTAAGGATAAATAACCAAAATTATAGAGGTAAGGCATATGTTCAGTGTTAAATTATACGTAGGTAGTCTATAGCTTTCATCCTCTTCTTAAAGCCACAATATTGATAATGTATGTCTGCAAATTGTGAGAAGAAGTGGATCGTCTAGCACGCGTATGATAGTAGTTTTTGTTTTTCTTACGGATTATAGTCTTCAAACGGTCGTAATTCGACTTTGTAGAAATTTAAGAGATTGTTTTGGTGGGGGTCTTAGTTTTCGTAATTATGAAAACTAAGAGGTGTCTTAGTTTTCGTAATTACGAAAACTAAGACCCCTAAATTTACCGTTAAATTTGACCTAAAACTCGGTGGAAAGGATCGAACATGATATAATTTGACAGATCAGACCTATTTCGGTTACAATTTGACTTTATATTTCGACGGATTCGATTTTAGGGGGTCTTAGTTTTCGTAATCTCCAAAACTAAGACGGGTCTTAGGTCTTAGGTCTTAGTTTTCGAGGGTCTTAGTTTTCGTAACACCCGGAAATTATTTGCTTCGTAAAGTTAATGCAACATTTTGAAATTCCCATTAATTTAAGTTGTGTTAATTTTTGTAAAGGTTAATTTCTGCTTCATTAATTAAGTGGAATGTTAATTTCCATGCAACCCTAATTTCCAATACACTCTGTTGACAGCTAAGTAAGAGGAGTATTTTGGAGATCAGCCATTCTTTGCCTGATCCTTTTCCTACCTTGTACCAAAAAAGTAGCAAACAAAGTTTTCATTTCAGGTTATACGTTTTACTTTGTCCTTGTTGTCCCTATAAGTTTTGGTTTCTCTGTGAACGCCTTGTTAATTTCCTTCATTCTGACTTCCTTCATTCTTACATTCCTTCATTCTGACATTCTCACATGTAGTTCTGTTAATTTCCAATACCTTAATTTCATGGACCATTAATTTCCTTTAATAAGGTATATGTCGTAGTTAATTTTTTATCTCAGATAACTTTTATTTTTCTGTGTCAACTTCATCAGCATGTACATTACCATACCCAGGAGAAAAACACGGCAAAAACATCTGAAGACTGCAACCAGGCTGTCTGTTATCCAGACACAATAACTTGAACTCTGGACAACTGTTGATGATTGTTTTCCTGACGGAGGGGATGGTTCCCAAACAAACCCTCTTTCTGGCCCTCTTTCCTCCCTCCTCACTCTCATGACTCTCCAAATGCGCTTCCTCTTGCAACTTCATTTCCAAAGAAGAAAAAAGACCCTGGAAGCTACTGCATATTGTTGCTTCTTTTTAATAATTATTGTTAATGAATATTTCACTTTGCCATTAAATTCTAGGTACTGGGAAGCAATTTCAAGATGGAATGAAGCGATATCGTTAACACCAAAAAATGAAAAGCTTTATGAAATGAAGTCACAGGTGAGATTGAGGGTAGAAGAGGTTAGGAGAACTGGAGCCAAAGATGGCTTACTTTCAACGTAAATTTTATTTCACGTTGAATGTTTGTAGACAGAGGGAGTGGTTGATTAAAGCATTTTACCATTTATAGGATCATCTACCTCAACATAATTTTTTTGGTTCAATTAGTATCCTTGGTTTCAATTAAGTCTTTTATTGTTAGCAGTGTGATTCACATTTTATTTGTTAGTAACCATTCAACACGTCAGTGTTTGAAAATTTATTAAATGGGCGTGTCATTCCTAGCTAGTTCATTTTGTTGATAATGCCTATTATGTGTCCATATCCCGGGTCCTTATTCGCTATGGAATTTGAGAAATAACTTGTTAATGAAAAAATCACATTATCGTGTCAAGCAAATTAATGTGTTGCCAAAGCATTATTTCAAATGTTTCAAAAAACAAAAAATTAACTTGAAATTTAACTGTAAGGCTAACAAGTTTTCAAAAACCACAAATACTATCCATTCCAATCATCTTCAACTTTGTCAATCTATACCTCCTTTCGTATTTGCTGTGTTATTTAAACCACCCATTCATGTTTTGAGTGGTTATATTTTTTGGAGGTCACTCAGTTTGGTGGCAGTACTGTACCCACAGTACCCACTGTTTGAATTTTGATAAATTTCATGACACAGCTCCTTTGAGTTCTGTTTTGAACCTTGTAGGAATTAATGTCTTGAAACTTTTCAGGTCTTAATGACAATTGGCAACAAAATTGTTGAGACATTGTCCTCAAATGGGGTAACTTTGGAGAACAAAACAATCCACACCCCTCCATTTAGTTGGGTAGCTACTAAACAGGTAGCTTGAACAGTGGCACAACATTTCGTGGAGTGGATGGGGGAAGGAAGCTTTACTTTTCCCTTTTTGAGTTTGCAAAAATTAATGTCCAAGAGGCCCTTCAAGGCAAAGCGTCTCAACTAATTATGTTGCTTATTTGGAGCTTCCGATAGGCTTCCAGATGTCTTGGACTCAAATTTGCTCATTTAATGCAAAGCCTCAGTCTTGAATTTGGTTAAAGAAGAAAAGTCTCTGTTTCAGATTTTGTGATCTCTCCACTTCATGCTTCATGATAGCTTGCTTCACTTAACATGACTACTTTTAGGTTTTTTTACACTGGGTGTATTTTTAAAATACATGATATACAGTCAAACAGTACAGTCAGATGGAATATAGTGAAAATATCAATTGGGATTATAACTTTTTAGCAACAAAATTTAATTGCAGGTACTCTTGGAACTTCATGAGTTATTTCCTGCCATACAAGCAGCAGAGAAAGCAGTCTCACTTAACCCTCATTGGTTTGTGGCACATCAAACTCTTGGCCGGGCACAGATGGGATTTGGTGATACTGAAATGGTAAGTACACTGTATTTGCCTGCAGAGATTTTTTTAGATGTCTTTGTAAACCAAAATTCTCCCCACAATAAAAATTTATTAAGAGAATGTTGTTTAAATTAAAAATTAACACCAGACAAAATTACTGAAGTTTTGTTTGAATTAATCATGGGCACCAGTGCTACTGTTTATACAAAACCTTAGGGAGGATATGACCCCGGGGATACTCTCGGAATTTTTTGGCAAGGATGTGTTGCTAGGACCCAGTGGATTTAGCCTTAGCCTATATTAATTTATATACCAGACTACAGTGTAGTTCAGCTGTTACTACCCTAGCTATATTAGACTGTAAGACTCTCCAAACCTGAACTCTTTCCTACTGAGTCACTATTTCCCAGAAACTTGAATTGAGGTCTACTCTTTTTTTGCTACGGATCTAAGTTGTAGGTACCATATTTCCTCAAATAATTAATAAGTGCCCCTCGATTAATCGCAACCTCCCTAGAATAACTGCCCCCCTTTGATGGAAATATTTAAAATTATTGCCTTCCTCAAATAATTGTCCCCCAACCCCTCTCGCCATCTCTTTTTTTTTCATCCACTCCCTGTAAAAAGTTAAAAATTGACAACTTGGATAACAGACATATCTGAAGTGGAGTCTGATGCAGCAAAACTGATCAGTGATGGTTTAAACTCTGATGTCAAGGATATTGACATTTGAAAATTTAAATCAAGGAACCAAATCTGGAACACTTAATGGAATAATAAAACAAAATATATAGAGGGTCGTGAAGGGGTAAAATGGGAACTAAAATGGGATTAGCCTTATTGTGGACTGGGAAAATGGGATTTACTCACTGGGACTGGGATTTAGCCACTGGGAATGGGATGAACAATTATAAAATGGGAATGGGTTGGAAAGGATCGAACATGATATAATTTGACAGATCAGACCTATTTCGGTTACAATTTGACTTTATATTTCGACGGATTCGATTTTAGGGGGTCTTAGTTTTCGTAATCTCCAAAACTAAGACGGGTCTTAGGTCTTAGGTCTTAGTTTTCGAGGGTCTTAGTTTTCGTAACACCCGGAAATTATTTGCTTCGTAAAGTTAATGCAACATTTTGAAATTCCCATTAATTTAAGTTGTGTTAATTTTTGTAAAGGTTAATTTCTGCTTCATTAATTAAGTGGAATGTTAATTTCCATGCAACCCTAATTTCCAATACACTCTGTTGACAGCTAAGTAAGAGGAGTATTTTGGAGATCAGCCATTCTTTGCCTGATCCTTTTCCTACCTTGTACCAAAAAAGTAGCAAACAAAGTTTTCATTTCAGGTTATACGTTTTACTTTGTCCTTGTTGTCCCTATAAGTTTTGGTTTCTCTGTGAACGCCTTGTTAATTTCCTTCATTCTGACTTCCTTCATTCTTACATTCCTTCATTCTGACATTCTCACATGTAGTTCTGTTAATTTCCAATACCTTAATTTCATGGACCATTAATTTCCTTTAATAAGGTATATGTCGTAGTTAATTTTTTATCTCAGATAACTTTTATTTTTCTGTGTCAACTTCATCAGCATGTACATTACCATACCCAGGAGAAAAACACGGCAAAAACATCTGAAGACTGCAACCAGGCTGTCTGTTATCCAGACACAATAACTTGAACTCTGGACAACTGTTGATGATTGTTTTCCTGACGGAGGGGATGGTTCCCAAACAAACCCTCTTTCTGGCCCTCTTTCCTCCCTCCTCACTCTCATGACTCTCCAAATGCGCTTCCTCTTGCAACTTCATTTCCAAAGAAGAAAAAAGACCCTGGAAGCTACTGCATATTGTTGCTTCTTTTTAATAATTATTGTAAATGAATATTTCACTTTGCCATTAAATTCTAGGTACTGGGAAGCAATTTCAAGATGGAATGAAGCGATATCGTTAACACCAAAAAATGAAAAGCTTTATGAAATGAAGTCACAGGTGAGATTGAGGGTAGAAGAGGTTAGGAGAACTGGAGCCAAAGATGGCTTACTTTCAACGTAAATTTTATTTCACGTTGAATGTTTGTAGACAGAGGGAGTGGTTGATTAAAGCATTTTACCATTTATAGGATCATCTACCTCAACATAATTTTTTTGGTTCAATTAGTATCCTTGGTTTCAATTAAGTCTTTTATTGTTAGCAGTGTGATTCACATTTTATTTGTTAGTAACCATTCAACACGTCAGTGTTTGAAAATTTATTAAATGGGCGTGTCATTCCTAGCTAGTTCATTTTGTTGATAATGCCTATTATGTGTCCATATCCCGGGTCCTTATTCGCTATGGAATTTGAGAAATAACTTGTTAATGAAAAAATCACATTATCGTGTCAAGCAAATTAATGTGTTGCCAAAGCATTATTTCAAATGTTTCAAAAAACAAAAAATTAACTTGAAATTTAACTGTAAGGCTAACAAGTTTTCAAAAACCACAAATACTATCCATTCCAATCATCTTCAACTTTGTCAATCTATACCTCCTTTCGTATTTGCTGTGTTATTTAAACCACCCATTCATGTTTTGAGTGGTTATATTTTTTGGAGGTCACTCAGTTTGGTGGCAGTACTGTACCCACAGTACCCACTGTTTGAATTTTGATAAATTTCATGACACAGCTCCTTTGAGTTCTGTTTTGAACCTTGTAGGAATTAATGTCTTGAAACTTTTCAGGTCTTAATGACAATTGGCAACAAAATTGTTGAGACATTGTCCTCAAATGGGGTAACTTTGGAGAACAAAACAATCCACACCCCTCCATTTAGTTGGGTAGCTACTAAACAGGTAGCTTGAACAGTGGCACAACATTTCGTGGAGTGGATGGGGGAAGGAAGCTTTACTTTTCCCTTTTTGAGTTTGCAAAAATTAATGTCCAAGAGGCCCTTCAAGGCAAAGCGTCTCAACTAATTATGTTGCTTATTTGGAGCTTCCGATAGGCTTCCAGATGTCTTGGACTCAAATTTGCTCATTTAATGCAAAGCCTCAGTCTTGAATTTGGTTAAAGAAGAAAAGTCTCTGTTTCAGATTTTGTGATCTCTCCACTTCATGCTTCATGATAGCTTGCTTCACTTAACATGACTACTTTTAGGTTTTTTTACACTGGGTGTATTTTTAAAATACATGATATACAGTCAAACAGTACAGTCAGATGGAATATAGTGAAAATATCAATTGGGATTATAACTTTTTAGCAACAAAATTTAATTGCAGGTACTCTTGGAACTTCATGAGTTATTTCCTGCCATACAAGCAGCAGAGAAAGCAGTCTCACTTAACCCTCATTGGTTTGTGGCACATCAAACTCTTGGCCGGGCACAGATGGGATTTGGTGATACTGAAATGGTAAGTACACTGTATTTGCCTGCAGAGATTTTTTTAGATGTCTTTGTAAACCAAAATTCTCCCCACAATAAAAATTTATTAAGAGAATGTTGTTTAAATTAAAAATTAACACCAGACAAAATTACTGAAGTTTTGTTTGAATTAATCATGGGCACCAGTGCTACTGTTTATACAAAACCTTAGGGAGGATATGACCCCGGGGATACTCTCGGAATTTTTTGGCAAGGATGTGTTGCTAGGACCCAGTGGATTTAGCCTTAGCCTATATTAATTTATATACCAGACTACAGTGTAGTTCAGCTGTTACTACCCTAGCTATATTAGACTGTAAGACTCTCCAAACCTGAACTCTTTCCTACTGAGTCACTATTTCCCAGAAACTTGAATTGAGGTCTACTCTTTTTTTGCTACGGATCTAAGTTGTAGGTACCATATTTCCTCAAATAATTAATAAGTGCCCCTCGATTAATCGCAACCTCCCTAGAATAACTGCCCCCCTTTGATGGAAATATTTAAAATTATTGCCTTCCTCAAATAATTGTCCCCCAACCCCTCTCGCCATCTCTTTTTTTTTCATCCACTCCCTGTAAAAAGTTAAAAATTGACAACTTGGATAACAGACATATCTGAAGTGGAGTCTGATGCAGCAAAACTGATCAGTGATGGTTTAAACTCTGATGTCAAGGATATTGACATTTGAAAATTTAAATCAAGGAACCAAATCTGGAACACTTAATGGAATAATAAAACAAAATATATAGAGGGTCGTGAAGGGGTAAAATGGGAACTAAAATGGGATTAGCCTTATTGTGGACTGGGAAAATGGGATTTACTCACTGGGACTGGGATTTAGCCACTGGGAATGGGATGAACAATTATAAAATGGGAATGGGATTTCTTTTCTTCAGCAGTCTTTGCTCCAATATTTTGAAGTAGAAAAATAAAATTTCGTAGCAATGGACCTTGCACTCCTCAGTAGAGACCGTGAAATCAGTATTTTTCGCCTTCGCGCCCGCGGTCTAGCTACCAGCTAGCAGTGAAAGCGGAGACAGTGAGTCAGACGAGGATTGTGCAGATGATAGAATTGGTTTTCATATGGTTATGTCAACAAGGGCTGGAAGAGAAAGAGTGTTCACCAGCAGAATGAGAGATTTTCTTCAGTCCAGGTGAAGATACGTGTATCCAAATAGTGTCAATCAGTGCTTTTAATTTATTATGCGCATGATTTTGCAAATAATCATTAGTAATGGGATTTTAGATTTGGTAACTGGGATTTTGGCAAAAATTAGCCTGGGAACTGGGATTTGGGCCAAATTTAGGCTGGGAACTGGGATTTGGTACCCCCCTTCACGACCCTCTATATAGGGCATGACTTCCAGTAAGCAACATTTGAAAGAATCGCCTCCCTTGCACTATCACCTTCCCTCGAATAACCGCCCCCTTTTGGTGCGAAAAAAGAATAATCGCCCCTGGCTATCATATGAGAAAATACAGAATGCCAATTAAAGTCTTGGGTTTGAAAAGCTATGTCATTTTTTTTTGCATAACTTTTTACTTCTCCCAATCATCAATTACTCATCATTGTTTATGTCAGTTGTTGAAAGACTGACTATTGTTAACTTGGGGTTAAATTTTTATCCAAGTTTTCCAAATGTTTTTCTGTTCATAATTAGATTCGTCATTTTAGAGTGTCTAAACATCAACTTTTGATAAAAATAATTTACCGGCTGGGGAATTTTCTTTGTTAGCATTCAGATTTGAAGTCAAATTTTATGGTAATCCAGGTTTATCCTCATCCTGCTTTGAACAATGGGGCCATGGCCTGGGGGCAGGGAAGGGGTACTTGACCACATTTTTATAAGGGGAGGCTCCACCCTGAAGTTTAACCCCTTACCCTTCTATATACACCATTTTTGACGGAAAAGGTACCACTTTCATATACGTTACATTGGCAAATGGTACACCTAAAGTTCACATACCTAGTGTAGAGCAGTTCATCCCTTTTAACTGCCTTTAATGCTTGGTCTTTTGATGAATAAATAACTAAACCAAAAAGTTTTCTTGTCTCTTATTTGTCTGTTAGCCCTTTTTGGTCCTTGTACAGAGTGAAATGACAGATTTCCCCAGCTTTCATATACTTCAACTTATGAAATCCCTGCTTTCCTTTTTATATACCTGAAGCCTGAAAAAGGTAGCCCTTTTGCAGGGTTGTCATTAAGATTTCAAGTTGCTGGGTAAATACAACAAGTAGGCAGGGAATCAAACAGCTAGGGGTGCATTTCTTTTGGTTCTATTTTTCTTCTATTTTCCTTAAAAATTAGCCGGGGGCCACGTTCATCATAGCCCGGGGAAATCTCCAGCCCCTGCCTCTTAATGACAGCCCTTCCTTTTGGTTGGAGCCTGCCCATAATTATTTGCCATTGTAGGGAGTTGCACCTGGGGCCATGGAGTATTATAAAACTTTGTGGTTTATTGGTGTTGAAGAAAACATGAGACCTGCAGCTTTCTAATACAATGGGTATTCTGCAAAAAACAAAACTTGAAAAAACATGAGACGGGGTTGAAGAATTTATCTTTTAAAATTACACCATAAAAATGGTTGACCCTTAGGGGTTCACCCCCTCCTAAGAAAATTAATATCCTGGATCCGTCCCTGCTTCTTTTGGGAGCAGGGGATTACAGCGTGAGTGAAGATTCACAGAAAGGTAGCCAAAAAATTGTTTTATTTTTCTTCTCTTCTGGGGGATTTTTTTGTGTGAAAGTAAAGCTTGCAATAGCTAGGCTTAAATTGTTATGGCCCATGTTTGCCCAAGCATGAAACATCAATAACAATAATTATGTTTGCTGATGGACTTGTCATTAATTTTTTTGATTGCATTATTCTTTGTTTGGATATGTTAGGGTGTGAAGAGCTTCTCAAGAGCTGTTCATCTGCAGCCTGATGATTTAGAGGTAATGGGAAATGCTACATGCAGTGTAGATGATAATTTAATTTAGAATAAATTAGTTAACAGTCCAGCAATTGTTCTGTTAATGGCACCATTTTGATCAGCAAAGACAGCTCATCAGAATTTTACCTTAACTCATGGGCCTTTTAAATGAAAACAAAAATGCATCTACATCTTTGCCAAACAGGGTTCTTACAGATTCAAGACTTTTTCCAGTCTTTTTCCAAAACAATAATTTTTTTTCCAGACTCAAGGTTATCAAATAGGTGATCAACAGACACCTTAAAAACAGAACAGCAAAACTTTTTTCATGATGTGCTGGAAACATACGGGCAAGATTGAATAAGATTTGACCAAAACAAAAAGAATCAAGACTTTTTGCCATTTTTTCCAGACCTAATCTCCAATGTCAAGCCTTTTTCGGGGTCTGGAAAATTGCTGGGCAAATTTTAAGATTTTTTCGAGAATTCAAGACTCTGTATGAACCCTGGCCAAAACTAGTTGCATGAAAATGAGACTGGTGACTCCAGTGACTGGCGGTTTTTTCCCCTTTGTGCATTGTGTCTCACCGTCACATCAGATTTTATTTTAATGGGAGTAAATTTTAGGAATGAAGGAAAAAGCTCTGGCACCCCATACCCCCTCCAGGTATAACCATAATTGTGAGACTACCCTGTGTTACTGATATAGCAACATTATTTTTCATGTGCCAATGGTAGTTCCTGGAGGTGAGGGGTGGGGGTACTTAACAAAGTTTTATATGCAGAGGCCCCACCCAGAGGTCCAACCCCTTACCCATTTATACCCCATTTTTGACAGAGAAGATTTACTTTTTGTGTACCTTCCAACCCCTTTCACATACCTAGTTAAAAGAACACTGTATGCCTTTTTACTGCTGTAGATGCAATGTCTTTAAAATAATTATGAAAAGTCACAAAACCAGGAAATTTTCTCAATTTTTCTACGCCCTTAAATTCTTTTATTAGCCCTTATGGATCTTTTTACAGACTGAATTGACAGATCCCTACCCTTTTATATACCTGAGGCTTGGAACAGGTACCCCTATTGGGCGGAGCCTTTCTGTATATACGCCATAATAAGGATTACCCCTCCCCCCTCCCCTGATAGCCTGTTCCAGGCTCTCAAAAAGTGGGGGAAGACGTGAAACTGAAATGCATGAAAAGGGGGCAGACGGGAAAAAGGTTACAGGAATAGAGACCCTAACCCGCCGCCCTTTCTCTCCTCAATCAGTTTCCTCCCATTTTATTTTCATGTTTGTGCTTTCTCAATTCTGCGGGCCTGACTATCTCGGAGCCTGGATCAGGCTACCCCTTCATGTGATAGTTTTATGAACGCGAGACCAATATAGACTATTCTTGCTGTAGATGTGGACAGAGGACCTCCACTGGGCCTGGAAACTGAGAGATCAAAAGAGACAACAAGACAAAGAAAAATTGGACTCTATAAGTACACAACATAGCAAAGAACTTTCGGAATTATATGCCGCAGATCTTGATACTGAAACAGAGAAAGATGAATTTGTAAAAAAACAAACAGCATCAAGGAAGAATCTCTAAATAATTTAAGACATGACATGAATTTCTTGTGTCGCTTACGAGAGCTTTTCATTACAGAAATTTAAGTCACAGATCAAATGGGGTTTCACAAAGTAACTACAGCTGGTCACTCATGAGTGGTTGCAAGGAGGGCTTTGACTGTGGTTTAGGCCTTTTAAAATATGGAACCACCATGACGATTCTGATGAAAGCTATCAGAGGGAGGGGAAGAAAATTTGAAGGACTTTAAAAAGAAGCCTGAATTTCAGCTGTCCCCATGAGGCCGCAGGCTCCCAAAAGGAGGGATGGATGAACTTCAGGCTATGAAACAGAATAACTATGTGTTTACTCTAAGAAGACTGACTTCCTTAAAACAAAGTAGTTTTCGTCGCCGGAGAATGTTTGTTTCTCAAGGAATTTAGAAAAAAAAAATTAACTGTTTCACAGAACCAAATACAAACTTTCTTTTGAAAACTTTAGACACTTAACAAACAAATTGATTATGTGATTTGATGACCATGGTGAGGGATACAAGGGAAAATTTAGCTATTTATAATAACAATTCACAACCATAGTTTTGAACTTTGGTTTTCTTTATTCATGGAGTAAAACCATTACATTATCATTTCATACCATTTCCAGTCTTTTGCAGCAACATAAAATAGTAATTTTTCTAGCTAATCTCCAGATGAAAACGCACAATTGCATCATAGTTGTGCTAGCTTCACACTTTCTATTGACATTCCAAATTATTGCTCAACCCCATAAGCCCTTATATCAACTTGCAAATTCTCCACACATTTCTATAATACTCTAGAGGACACTCTCTGGCCAGGCTTAAAGGGTTAATCAAAAGTAAAAAAAAACTGCCTAATACACTACAATACACATGCAGTTTTAATAGTACAAACTTTACAAGATACTTTTCCTATATCTTTGTTTAAATCTGAATTTTCACTCCCAGATTGAAGGCATCTTCTAACTTTGGAGTCTGCGGATGAAGTACCATGGTACTACCACTTAAATGAAAACCCTTCTTCAGTAATTTCATGTGGTACTATAAATTGATTAAGTTTGCACTTCCAACTTCTGACTGTGTGGACGTAATCCTATGGTTTTACTATTCATGCAAAGGAATTGTTGTCAGTACTATTTTCACATGGTAAATTGTAGACCTATCTCTTTGACAACTTCTGGGAGCGAAAGATTGAAAAGGGTACAGGTTGTAGAGTGTACATGAAAATAATCTTCATGCAAATGGCAGGTATGAGCACAGTGTATGGAATAAATTCCTTGGTGAGTACTGTTGATCTCAAGCTAAATTCTCCCTTTGTTTTTCAAAAAAGCTAATTGTAGTTTGCAAAGAGAAACTAGCAGTCTATCAGCCAGACCTTAACCTCGTCCTACACAATGATATGGCAGGAAAATTTGTCACTTGACTGACTTTTAAATCTATGAGCAAAACCCATCATCAATAATACAACAAAATCTCAGTCATTTGAGTGCAATAGTAGACGTGTAAAAAAATACTTAAGCTTAGTGAACAGAAAAATGGCTTTTGAGATTTTTTCGGAAGGTATACAGAACACAGTCAAGTCAACTTAATCTAAAACAGATGCCAAAGGATCTGCACAAAGTGCCCATATCAGAGAGTTGCCCAATTCTTTGTGTCTGCCGAAAGGCATCTCATGATTCGAAACAAAATGTTAGTTCTTGTAGTGTATCATTCTCATCAATGCAAGTTATTAGTCAAACATTTAGCACTGCTAAAGAATAAAATTATACATTACATGTATGTACCTAATGTGTGCTACAAATGCTTCGAGCAGGAATATGAACTTCAGAGCCAGCCTGACTCCAAGATTCAAGAAGTGATAACAATATAATTATGTATTATAATTGTCAATGTCATACATGCATTAATCTGTTGCTCCCTTCATTTCCAAGATCAAATGCTACATGTATTTCTCCATTAAGCCTCCCATACTTTTCCACTTGTTATAGTACTGACAATTTGCCACCTACCCCCAGCCTCAACTGGGTACAGTGAACTGTATAAAGATGGCTGCTGATCCACCTTCGCAGACAGATAATTTTCTAAGTGCTGTTACTTTGCTCATGTATCTCCAGGATTCATAACAATAATCAAAATTCTAAAAAAAATAGGTACTTAAAATTATCTAACTTTAAAATGAGGGAATCATTTTCATAACACTTTGTCAAATATCTACTCTCAACTGATTTCCACACAATCCAAAAAACAAGACCATTAACTTTCACAAACAATGATTAATTTCTCTGTGCAGATGAAAGGCGTTGAATACTACATTTTCAGTCTTACATGTATCTGCACATTTTTAAAGTCAACAAAAATAACTAACGGAATGTTCCCCTTGCTTTTTATCTTGCATGCCTCATAGTATCATTTGCAAACTCATGCCCCATGGAGCACATCATAAACACTTACAAAGCTAGGCTTCTTAATTTCTCAAGAATGTGGAGCTGACAATGCCCCCCTTTTGTAAGATTTGCAACTTTATACATTTGAAAATGAGCAGATGCTTCTTACTGTAGAAGCTCAACTGGCCGATAAAGAGTTATATTGCAAGTCACTGACATGAACTAAAACTTTCCACTCTGAAACCAGTTGGCATTCATTACTCTGCCTTCTCTGTTTCCGTGACCTTCTCTCCTTCATTTTTTACATACTTTGCAGGGCGCTCACCCTTCTTGCTGAATTTCTTGACCAAGGCATCTTTAAAGCTCTTCTTCTTCTTCACCTTGGTTCCTTTTTTCTTTGGGCTGCCTGGCTCATCATAACTGGGAGCCAGCAGCTCTCCATCTGGTCCATCTTCATCCCCATCTTCATGATCAGTGCTCTTTTCGTCACCTGCTTCCCCATTCACCTCTGTTGTCACCACAACTCGCTTCTCTGTGTACTCATGATATTCCCGCCTCACCTCTTTAGTCTCATCACCATTGATTCCTTTTTC